TAGTGCCGTTGTAGTGCATTTCTAGTGTTTAAGTAGAAGCTTTGTAGTGTTTGAGTAATGTTATGTTGTTGAGTATCTATAGCAATTTCTTTAAAATTTTGTTAGCTTAGCTACTAAATAGTGTCCATAACTATGCAGCTAAACAATTTAACTTAGTATCTCTAATAACACTCTCTATTTTAACAAACACTATATACTTTAATATTAAGTCATTGTCTCTTGGAACCGGTAGATCCGATCTAGCATAAAAAATAAATAAAAAAGAGTCAATAAAGCAGGAAATATATTTGTGGTAAACAAGCAAGCTGGACCTTACCCCAGTGGTATTTGGTAGAAAATTTGTCGCAGCCATTCAACATTTCTCTCTTCTTAGTTAATAATTGTTTATGTTTAGCTAACTCAAAATTTTCTTTTCCGCTTTAAAGTTAATTAACAACAGTCCACAAAACTTAACATAGAGAATGAGATAGAGAGCATCTTATTATGTTCATTATTTAACGGTTAGATATGCAATTCAAAAGAGAGAACATCATATTTATCTATATTATGAATGTAGTAAGAGTAAATTACATAAAAGTACCTTAACTATAGGTCGAACCATAATCGCATACCTCATGTTTTAAACATTGCAATGTTATACCTCAACTTATGAATTCATTGCAAAGTCAAACCTCGATTAAATTTTCTATCAATTTGACTGTTAAATGATGATGTGGCAAGAGTACAAGGTAGAGTTACGATTGGGGGTTAGCAAGACTCACTGAAGAGTTGAAACTAAGGATTGAAAGTAGCTAAATCGTCTGTATAACAGATCTACGAATAGTCAACGCCTTTAACAACGTATTTTAGGGCAATTCCTTAGGCACCTTCACATCTACATCTACCTATAACAAGCATGTACACACAAACAAGCTTGAATCATGTTATCTTAACGAAGGAATGCCATTACTTATAGCCGCAACTACACATTGGTTGAGACTCACACGATAGTCGATACTTAGGATTTCTTTTAGCCTATAGACTAGGGGGTGTATTCAATTGTGAATTTGAAAGATTTTAATGGACTTATAAATCCATGGATTTTTATGGAGTCTAATTGATTTGTAGAGATTCTATGTAAAATTTTGATTAAATCTCTCAAAATCTCTTAGGGAGAGGTAAGATTTGTAGATGTTTAAAATATACTACAAAATCTCTCAAATTCCCTATAATTCCTCAACTTTGTCAAATTCTTTAAAATCAAATTCTAATTAAATACATCTGGAATGTTATAAACTTCCTTAAAATAATACACCCGGATTTCTAAGAATTTTAATAAACTATCTTAAAATTCTGATTGAATACACATTGAATTTTAGAGAATCACTTAAATTCATGGTTGAAGACCTCTAGATTTATTAAAAGAATTAAAATCCCTTAAAATCTCAATTGAATACACCCTAGAATCGTAAACCTCACCCTAATTTAACATCTGCTTGAACTCCCGATCGTTTGGGCCCACTCCTTGTTAAAATACTGATAAAAAATTCATAATTTATTAATATTTCTAAGTGAAAAATATTAATATTAATAAAAAAACTGAAAAAAAATATTTTTTTAATACGGGGCTTGAGACTGCTGAAGAAGGGTGCCCGCTCGTCGAAGAAGCTAAACTTGACGCCGATGAAGAGATCCCGCCATTGGAAGCGGTATAGAACCCTAAATTGAAGTGAAGCGAGGCGAGAGAAAAGGGAGAAAGGGAGGAGTCTCCCCAAAGTCGTTTGTGAGAAAAAACACAACCCAGATACAAACCCTAAATTGAAGTAAGTTTTTGAAAAATCGAGTAAATCAAAGAGTTAAATGAGAAGCTGGACTTTGGGACTGGAGGGTTTCTGGTGCGAAGGCATTTAAATCCTTCTGGTGGATCGCAATCTCACTCTCGCAGGCCATCCGTAACGACTCCATCTTCGTCCGCACGAACTCATCGGGTCAGCTGCCAGCGGAGTACCCGAACCCGAACCACCTTCATTCTTCCGTTGATTTCGCCGCCGCAAATTGGGTCTCTCTTGTTTCCGATTCCCCGCGACTTTGCTATGCTGAACCGTGATTCGCAATCCTCTCGATTCAATTGTCGACGTCGGCAGTGATGAGCTTGGTCCCGAGATCCGCGGGCGGAAGACAACTGGGTAGGCATGGATTCGTGGAGCTTGCCTGTGCAACTCGGGAAGCTTGTACCTACTCACCTCTAACAGTCTCAAGCCCCAAGAATAAAAAAATTATTTTTTCAGTATTTTTTTAGAAAAATTAATAAAAAAATTTATGAAAATTTTGAGTTTTAATGATAAGGATAAAATAAAAAGTATAATAAATAGTATCAAAATTGGTTTTTTAGTGTAAAAATGTATTTTTTTCTTTAAAGTGAATATTATCGAGAGTTTGTTAAAGTTCTTTTCTTTTTTTAATTTTTTTTATAACAATTTTCAATTTTTATTAATATTAATAATTTTTAGGGTTTAGGAATATTAGTATTAATAAATTAAGAATTTTTTATCAATATTTTAATCTAGATGGGCAAGGAGTGGACCTCATTCTTGCCACATCATTATTTAACAGTTAATTTCACACTATCATTTAACAGTTAATTTAACAGAAAATTTAACGGAAGTCAAACATTACAACGAATTAATAGGTTAAAGTATGACATTACAATGTTTATAATATAAAATATGAAATTATGGTTCGATCCATAATTAAAATGATTATGTGTAATTTACCCATGTATTAAATAAATACATGTATCATTCCAAAGTTCTTCATTTTAAAGAGGTTTTTGGAGACGCTTTATTGAGCTATTTACCTCCACTACAAATCGTACGTACAGAATGACATGGGAAGGTCTGATTACTACACCCAACCACACCATATCCTAACCTAGAAAAGTACATTTTAGTTTACGCTATGTTTATTTGCAGCTATGCTTTTTAAAACTCGATTTTAATTTCACTTTACTTTCTGAAACTCAAAAGTCGTCACTTTACTCTTTAAAACTCAAAATTTGCTCAATTTTGCCCCTTGGAACTCGATTGATCCCATTTTGTCCCTTGAAATTCAAAAAATCGTAATAAATCTCAAAATTCGCTCCACATTACCATCGATCTGTTAATTTCTTATGTGAATTTGATTTGGATGCACTAGGCTGATCAATTTCTTTATTTTTTTTCATCTTTTCAATTTATTTTAAACTTAACATTTTCTGATTATTGAATGTTAACTCATAATGAATATTAACTCATAATGAATATTTATAATCAAAATTATTACATATATGACATAGTTTTATTAGTGTTGGCTCCCACATATATTTCGAGAGGACCTATGAGTTTCAGGAGAAGAGAAAGTTCACAAGTCAAAATAGAACGTATTTTAAGTTTCAGATAATAAAATTGTAACCTTTAAGTTACATGGACAAAATAAAATCAAATTCGAATTTGAAAAGTGTAGCTAAAAATAAGCATTTATAGAGAAAGCTGATGGAATACCTTAAAGGAAAACTAATGAAAAGGGCTTGAAAACTTTGAGTTTTAATGATAAGGACAAAATAAAGGGTAGAGTGAATAATACCAGGATTGACTTTTTAGTGTAAAAATATGATTTTTCGTTAAAGTGAACAGTACCAGGTGTTTTCGTTAAAGTTTCCATACCTTAATGCAAAAAGATGCGGACCCACGTGACCGTTTGGTAGCAAATAGAAATAAGCAAGGCAACCTCATAGGCATTGTTCTCTTCTCCGGTAAAAAGAATTGTCGAAGCCATTCGACATTTCTCTCTTCTTAGTTAATAACTTTTTATGTTTAGCTAACTCAAAATTCTCTTTTCCCCTTTAAAGTTAAGGAACAATTGTCCACAAAACTAAAATAGAGAATGAGATAGAGAGTACCATTTTTGTGCACTTTTAGTTAAATTAGCTAAAGAAATAAGACTGGGTACATGCATTTACTTAACATGTTCATTATTTAACGGTTAGACATGCAATTCAAAAGAGAGAATATAATAATTACCCATTTCTGTTTGAATGATGAATGTATTAAATAAAAGAAAAACTAATGAAAAGGGCTTGAAAACTTTGAGTTTTAATGATAAGAACAAAATAAAGGGTAAAGTGAATAGTACCAGGATTGACTTTTTAGTGTAAAAATATGGTTTTTCGTTAAAGTGAACAGTCCTAAGTGCTTTTCTTTAAAGTTCCCATAAATAAATGCATGCATACTGTAGCATGGTTTTTGGAGATGCTTCTTTGAGATATTTTCCTCCTCTACATAGGAAGGCCTGATTAGTCAAAGCCATCTTGCACGGTACACCCAACTACACCATATCCTAACCGAGAAAAGTACCTTTTAGTTTATATTAGGATTTTAATCTCATTTTATTTATGTAATTCAAAAATTGTCACTTTACTTCTTAAAACTCAAAATTCGCTTCACTTTGCCCCTAGAACACGATTTTGATTTTATTTTGCCTCCTGAAATTCAAAAGTTGTTTCTATATATCTCAAAATCAGCTTCACATTGACTTAGATCTATTAATTTCTTATGTAGGTTTGAAATAGGTGCACTAGACTAATCCATTTATTTTTTATTTTTTTCATCTCTTCAATTTATTTTAAACTTAACATTTTCTGATTGTTGAATGTTAACTCATAATGAAGATTTATAATCAAAATCATTTCATATCTGGCACAATTTTATGCTTGGATCTCACATATATTTCAAAAATCAAAATAAAACGAATTTTAAATTTCAAAAAGTAATCGTAACTTTTGGGGAAGGCAAAGTAAAATTAATATTGAACTTCGGAACCGTAACTAAAAATAAGCTTTTATGCTACTCCCTTCCAAAGTAGAGAAAGTTGATGGAATACTTAAATGCAAAAAGATGCGGACTCACGTGACAGTTTGGTGGCAAATAGGAATTAAGCAAGGCAACCTCATACGCATTGTTCTCTTCTCTGTCGACTGATATTTCATAGAAGAAAATAAACCCCAAACCCTTTTGCCTTTTGTATCTTTCAACGCCACACCCCTCCACAACGCCACCCCTCCACCAAACCCAACCGTCAACAAATTCAATTAAAATATATAAAATATAAATCCTATTTATTTGATTGTTCTGCTTTCTGAGACCTACTTCTACGGTCAACAATCTATGAAAGCAAAAAATAAATAAAAAATAAAAAATAGTTCCTTTGCTTTTTCATGTTTTTATTTTTTATTCAAAAAGCTTTGATCTTTCCTATATATTGAAGATCTACCGTTCTGGGTTCAACTTATTCGAGCTTTTCAGGTAAAAAAAATAATAAATTTGCTTCCGTCTTTATATTTTGCTCCACCACCCCAGTGATTTGATCTCTTTTGGGTTTTGTTACAGAAAACCAATTGAATTTTCACCCCAAAAGTCCCACCATGATCTGCTCTGTGAAGCAATACACCGGCGTGACAAATGGGTCCGACATCTTTTTACGGCGGAGCACACGACCGCCGCCGGTGCAACGATCGCTGTTTCTGCCCTCTCTTCCGGCGCACCAGCCTCAGAGATCAGGAATCTCGGTGCAAAAGGCCTTGCACGTATCTGCGATCGCCACCCTCGGAGCTTTGCCGAAGCCGACTCGAATGAGTGTGGTTAAATGTCAGGCGTTCGAGGCTGACCGATCGCAGCCGATCGAGTCCAGCGTCGAGCTTCCCAAAGTCGATGCTAAACTGGAGGCGGCGAAGAAGCTGAAGATCGGCGTGTATTTTGCTATGTGGTGGGCGCTGAACGTGGTGTTCAATATATACAACAAGAAGGTGTTGAATGCTTACCCTTTCCCATGGCTGACCTCCACCCTGTCTCTGGCATGTGGGTCTTTGATCATGCTGGTATCTTGGGCCACCAGGATTGCTGAGGCCCCCAAAGTTGATATGGAGTTCTGGAAAGCTCTGTTTCCTGTAAGTTCAGTTGGTTTTAATTTGGTTTATGTATATATATATATATATATATATATATATATTCATATGCATGTATGTATATATATTATGCTTTTGGGGTTCTGAGAATGGAGGAATATGAAGGAAAGTGAAGTTTTTAACTTGTTATGTTTGATGGTGTTGAAATTTCGATATGGATATCGAATTAGGATTGTTGGGCGTCTTTTATTCTGTGAAAATAACTATTTTGTTTGGTAGCTGAGAAAATTAAAGGCAAGAAAGTGTAACTTGAGAGGTCTTAATTGTTGAGAAAGTTATAGAGATAAGTTTTTATTTCCAGCCATACAATGACTCAGAGGCTTTGGTGGTTTGTCATCATTTTGCTTGAAAATTCTGTTTCGGTTTTCGCTTATGGGTGTGATTTTATTGTTTGATATCTCTGAACAGGTTGCTGTGGCGCATACGATTGGGCATGTAGCAGCTACTGTTAGTATGTCTAAGGTTGCAGTTTCTTTCACCCATATCATCAAGAGTGGAGAGCCAGCTTTCAGTGTATTGGTTTCGAGGTTCTTGCTGGGCGAGTCCTTCCCTACATCGGTCTACCTGTCCCTCCTTCCAATCATCGGTGGTTGCGGTCTTGCTGCCTTGACAGAGCTTAACTTTAACATGATAGGTAACCATTTTGTTCTTGTCCCGGAGGGAATGGAATTGTAAAATTATTGGTTTGTTGGTATTTGCAACCTTTGTCAGGCTCCGTTGGAAAAGAAAACAAATACATATTAAAATTAAAATACGTCAATACATGTTTTGCCTTTGTATTCTTATGCAACCAAATTGAGGTTCCATTCTTCGTGCTATATGTTTCAATATAACTTATTTGGCCAAAGTTTCGGTTTATTTTCTTTTATCTGAAGTTGGGTGTCGTAGCCAGTTTCTTTCTCCTTCTAGTTTTTCCAAAAAGCAGGATGAGTTTTGGCTAGTTGCAGGATTTTATTCCGTCATTATGTTGTAATTATAATGTAATTTTGTTGCTTTTCTTAAGGTTATAGAGACTTAAAATTCGGTCTTTTTACTGGTTGTTTCAGGATTCATGGGGGCCATGATATCAAACTTGGCATTTGTATTTCGGAACATATTTTCAAAGAAGGGAATGAAGGGGAAGTCTGTTAGCGGAATGAACTATTATGCTCTTCTATCCATTATGTCTCTAGTAATTCTCACACCATTTGCGATTGCGGTGGAGGGACCACAGATGTGGAAAGCTGGATTTGATTCAGCATTTGCTCAAATTGGACCCAACTTGATATGGTAATTACATGTCATCTACTAACTGTGATTTCTTGGCCTGTTACTGACTCTGATATGTTTTATAATTTTATTGTGTGGTTCGATATCTGCAGTTCTTAGCATGTATTTGTTTTCATAATAGAAACTAAGGCAGATAACTGATGTTCCGTGTTGGGAACAAGATAATCACTATGCAACTACTCTTGTGCAATTGTTCTACGAGTGTATTATTTATTTGTTCATTTTTTTATTTTCACTTAATTATATCCTATTTCACAATCTGTCCAAAGTCAATTCTCTTCTATAGATTACTCTAAAAAATACGAGAAAACAATATAGTCTCTTTTAGAGATGTTTTGAATGTCCTTAGCAGCTTAGCCAAATGCACACGATGAAAGGGATAAGGCACAATGCTATTGGTTGGAAGGTAGTGTGCTAGAAGTACATCTAATCAGATGATCTCGTTCTTACTGATTATGAAATCCTTCTACACGCAAAATAGTAGGTCTTGAGCTTCCTTTGGTATGTTTAACTGATAGTTATAATAGGGTCCTGCGATCTGTTTTCTTGTCTTTTTCTGTAGGTTTTGTTGCTTCGTTCTTTATGGTACAGGTCTTTTTATCTTGATGTAATTGTACTGGAGGAGTTTAACCAGTACTAAATCTGTGTGAATTATTGAATGTTGCAGTATTTACAGTCGTGATTATAAGGTGCAGGTTACTTGTTATATTATGAATTCATAGTTAATATTTCGTGTATTGAGCTGGAAACTTATGGCAATGTTGTTGCAGAGACCATGTGGTGTAATAGCTGATTGGAACTTGAATCCCCATAGGAACAATTCTTTGTGTTTGTTCTTGTTTGATACAGTGATACCTTTTTTTTTCTGAATGTTTTTATAAATGCCTTTACTCACGCTGCTGTTGATTACATCCAATAGGTGGATGGCGGCCCAGAGTGTCTTCTATCATCTCTACAACCAAGTGTCATACATGTCCTTGGACGAGATTTCTCCCTTGACATTTAGCATAGGAAACACCATGAAACGTATATCCGTCATAGTATCCTCCATCATCATATTCCGCACACCTGTCCAGCCCGTCAATGCCCTTGGAGCTGCTATTGCAATTTTCGGAACCTTCTTGTATTCCCAGGTATGCCCATGTTCTCTCTATGCATTGAGGTTGATTGTTCATAATTTACTTATGGTCTTTTTGCTAATTTCGCCTATTAGCTTTTTGGACATTCATGATAGATTTTGTTAGTGTGCCATAGTTTCAAAACATCGATTATTATAATGTGCACCAATTATTCTTTATATATTCTAAACATTCTCTTTTACTTGTGGGCTTGTTTAACCCACAACATCTGGAATTCAACAAAATAGGACGGTCAGGGTTTCATGGATTTGAACAAATGATCTCCCATTTTGATACCATGATGAACCTAACACTTCTCCTCTACCTCGAATGTGTCATATTTCCCGCTTTCGTTAAAGGACACAATCGTGGACTTAAAATTAGGGTGGGAGGTTCTAATTAAAGGGATTTGAACTCCGAATGCCCGAATCCCTTGTTTAACGTCATATGAATTTTTTGTTTGTTTACCCATTATTTCTACAACTTTGAAGTTGTTACAACGTAGGCCAACTGTTAGTATATTACAACACTTGCTCTGATGCAAATTGGCCAACCCTATAGATCCAGACAAAATTATTTGTTTGCATTCTTCGCATGGCTTTTGTTTGTATGTTAAAGATACCAACAAGAAATCTGGTGGATATTTTTGTTGGTTGTGGGTTGTACCACGGTGCTTACGATAGTGATTGCATCGGAACCTCAAACTAGGTATTTACTTTTATGTTATATTTCTAGTTCTTTAACCTACCTTAATGAAGGTTTAGGTGGAGGCAATTGGAGCAATACGGGGGGTAGATGTATATCCCGGCAAGGATCATGTTCCTTTGCTACTAATTAGGATGTTGAGTGTTAGGTGGCCTTCGCCATGCTGTGGTTGGACCATCAAAACCTACCTAATTTTACTTTGATAAGTTTGTTTCATCGCTTATACCATTAATTAAAAGGAAAACTAATGAAAAGGGCTTGAAAACTTTGAGTTCTAATGATAAGGACAAAATAAAGGGTAAAGTGAATAGTACCAGGATTGACTTTTTAGTGTAAAAATGTGATTTTTCGTTAAAGTGAACAGTACCGGGTGTTTTTCGTTAAAGCTCCCTTATTAAAGTCGAGAACGCCATTAGGCGTCTAAGTTGACTCCGACCGCACAATGTTGGAATATGCTTTGGTTTCTCCCTCTGTGATGCTAAACACAAACATCTACTCTTTTACCCTAAACATCATCTTGTCTCCCTTTTTCTGCAGGCGAAGCAGTGAGAAGCTCGGGCTTGCGGAAATTTACGTTCATGCAACATAAACGACAGGAAAGGGGGAGGAGGTGGAGCGGTTGGCGATCCATGGTTACTGAATTTTTGGTTGTACGAACCAAGAATGTGTAATTGTAGATACCAATAATGGTTGAAACAACATTTCCACCTGTTAAGAAAGGGAACTAGGCAGTTGTGTTTTTTGTTTTTTTCCATATTTTTGTTTGATGAGGTTGGAGAGAGAAATATTTCAATAAAAAGCAGGGATAATAATAATGATACATGAGACTGTATCTATCTTTATATCTATCTATCTATCTGCCTTGAGAAAGCATCAATGTCAATGTGGACCTTATAGAGCATATTCCAATTGGGTTGGTGGTAGGTATGCTTCATTACACATCGTCCACCTGGTGTAGTTTTTGTTTGTTTCATGGGTGCTTAACTTGTGGTCGGAGGAGGCTGAAATACCTTTTACTTTTTTCGGCCCTTAGAAGGGGGTGGATAACTGTGACTTGCCACCAGTTCTTTCTTTTTTGAAAATAAAAAGAAGGAGGATTTAGTGCCTCTTTTAATTCTATTTTTTTTGGTAATCTGGGGTTTGAACACTGAACACCCCCAAAAACACTAAATATTCTGAGAAGTGCAAACTAGGCGGTTACTAGCAATTCCCAAAAGGGGTGTGCTATCCACATCCCATTTTACTTCTCACACTCCCTGATAATTTGTCTCTGGATTTTCTTTAATTCATCCGTTCAGACGATCGAAAATTAAAAAGGTGTGTGAGAAGTGAAATGGGGTGTGTGGATATCACACCCCTTCCCAAAATATCGTCTAACAAAAGATCACCAATCCAAACAAGAGGTTCTTCAAGAAAACAAAATCCCAAATCAAGATTGAAGTTCCAATTGGCTAGACAGTCTACAACGGAATTCTTCTGTGTAAATATGCGTGAGTTGAGAGTATTCACGGCCGCTCATGTGTATTTGAGACTTAATCAAGTTGATTAAAGTAGTTTGTTTCGACTTTTGCACTCCAGTTCGAATATCCTTCTCCATAAACCATCTAATACCGAACTGTTTATTTGGGGTGTTCTTCTTGAGAGCTTTAGTTTTAGGTTAATAGAAGCTTACAATATTTAAGAATATTTCAATCATATTTATAGTAGTGCACCTAAATCAAAGAAAAATTACATACCAATGCCAATATATGTAAAGTTAGCAGCTGTGCGCATATCCCGCATAGTTCTTATCAAAGTTTTTAAAAATGCTAGGCGTTAGTCGGGCGGCCGACTGGAGCCTAAGCATGCGCCTAGGCGAACTCGACATTTTAACTGTTAAATTTTGGATAAAAAGTCCAAATTTATAATTCAACGGTTAAAAAAACAGAGTATTCTATTTAACAGAGCTTCATAAAATTTTTGTTGACCAATTGCTCTTATATAACATGTTATCCAGTTTAGTAACATGAACTTCACACCAGATATCATTCACTCTAAAAGTTTTTCTTCTCTTTTGACTTCCGCCTATATTGTCGGCTTAATTTTAAATGGGCCCTTTCAATTTAAAAAAGAAAATCAATCCATAGAAGATGTTCGTTGACATCAAATTGTCTCAGTTTAATTACACAATATTACGCGTAAGTTTCTCTTTACATGATATTATATTATTGGCGCGAGACCTCACCATATCAATGAACTCGCTCTTTACAAATTGCTCTCGACACAAGACTAACACTCTTTGATAAGAGAAATATGAGACCAACTATCATAACCGGTGTGATTTTTTATTTTTTTTAATAATAAAAAATTGATGTTATAGTAGTATTTTTTTTCACCTGTAGTTGAGTGAGAAGTTTTTCATTGGCAAAGCAAATTCAAACTAAATTATTATCGATAGCTTATTATGATAACTTATTGTGAGGTAACTTACTGTAGTACAAATAATATCAAAGGAAAACTAACGAAAAGTCTAAAAAAACTTATGTTTTAACGAAAAACTCTTTTTAAATGTATAGTGAATAGTGCTAATTGAAGGTAAAAATATAATTTTTTGTTAAAAATGAACAGTACCGAAAATATTTAGGGTATTAAAAGAATTACCCTATACAAGTTGTCCAAAAAAAGTTTGGGTTTACACTCATCGGGTTTGTCTCTTTGTCCAACCCAAGAAACACGAGTAGCGGTGGGAAATGATCACCGGGGAGTGGGGACGGATATCTACGGTTACGTTTAAATGAATACCGACATAACTCTTTAGTTTTTAGCCGTTGAGTAATTTCTTAAACAGTTAACGACGTGCCGTTTTTGCCCGGTTGATGAAATTTTTGCTTCAGTCGCAGTAAATAAATAAAAAAAGGGGTTCCATTCGAATTTTGCTACGAACGAAAAGCAACACACTTCGGATTTCGTTCGTTTTCTGAGAAAAACGAAAAAAATGGGCGATTGGGAGTTGCATCTGAGAATCCTTTCAAGCAGTGCCAGAGACTCCAATGTCGCGAACGATCCCGCTTCCGACTCCTCTCTTCTCCAATCCGTCAGTCCCTCTCTCTCTCTGCATCTCATCATTTCCCTAACTTTCTGTTTGTTTCCCGAGAAAATAATTGAAAAGCAGGGAAACCCAGAAATGAGCTTAATTTTCTTTTCATTTTTCTGATTAAGGGGGAAAAATTGGTTCTTTTTTGTTTGATTAAATGTTGAGCAGGTGAAGAAGCTGTATGAATTGTGTAAAGCTGAGAATTCAGAGGATTTGGTGGCGAGAGTTTACACGCAGATTAACAAGCTCTTTCAGCGCTCGGTGGCTTCGCTGTCTCAATCTCGAACCTCCATTGGCCTTCTACTGCTGGTTCGTTTTTTGGTCCCATTCGGATTTTGAGTCGTATTTTTGTTGCATTGCTATCCTAATTTTGTTTATTATTCACTTAGCTCTATGTTGTTAACTGCAAATTTCGCTATTTTGTTCCGTTTTGTTTAATTGCTGAGAAAGGATTAGGAAAATAAAACAAATGTTGAGCATTATCAACTTATCAAACAGTGATTTTAGAACTTGTGGGATGGAAAATGGTATATGGGATGTTTACAAAAGTCACAATATAGATTATCCCGGGAATCCTCTTTAACAACTGATTGGAGCGAGCGCACTTTCTAAGTAACATTCTATAGTTGTTTGGGCCAAATCGCAAGAAATGGCACTCGGCAGAGCATTTATTTGATGCTTAAGGTTTCAACTCCATTTAAGTCTTTGACTTTTGTATGCGTAAGCATTCAGTGTGATTTGTTTTGGAAGTATACTGCGAGTGCTTTTTACCGGGTTACCTAAGGTCTGAGCTTTCCCTTGCAGAATGAGAACTGAATGCTTGTTCTCTAGGGCATGTGCTTTTAACGTGATGGATTTTCTGAAGCAGTTTCATAGTTTAAGGAGGGGGGGGGGGGGAGTTAAGATGTAAAAGGGAGTCTCTTCTTTCGGTGTCTAATAGATTTTGGTTTTTTGAAAGAGTGTATGAAAGGCATATAGTTGAAAAATAATTTTATGAAATTTAATGCTGTAAACTAGCTAAGTTGTATTTTCTGTTAGTGTAATAGCTAATTCAGTTTTCCAATCTATTAGTTTTTTTTATTGATATAACCCCTGATTTTCTATCAGGCCATTCTTCAATTTTACCTTGACTTTGGGGAGATGGTTCTACATGATGCTGACCCCAGTCTCAGGACATTTTTCCGTTCATGTTTGAGCCGGTGAGTGATGTATTTCATTTGAGATTAGTGTCTAGGCTGATTAAAAGTATATGATATTGTGTGCCATTTGGGTTTTTTTTTTTATCCATATTGATATATACCTAGTCATTAGTTGTGTGATATGGAAAGTTACTTAGCATTTGCTTGGTTTTTACCATAGGAAAAGAAGAGAAATTATGGCAAGATTAATGTGCAACGTATGTTATTCTGTAGTTAAAGATGAAATGGAAGTGAGGAAGATTTTTATTTGTTACTTAAGTTGTTTTAAACTCCCCAAACCATGAAACCTGAGGCCCAAGTCTATTTTAAGATCCAATGGTCAATTTACGAGGGAGATGAACTGAAAAATGACGTACTTTTTATTGGTTAACAGAAGTATGACGCACTTTGCTCACCTTGTCCTCCTTTATAAAAACCTTGATCATCTTGTTTTTTTCATGTCAGTTTTGATGGTCAACATGTTCTTAACTGTATACTCTATACATGGACTCATGCCAGACTTGTCCAAAATTTTATTACTATCTATCAGCTTAAATGTTAAATCAGACATAAGCCATGGTGTCTTATCAAAGGATATTGTAGGTTGCTTTATGAAATCAACAACAAGAAGCAAGTATATTGACCTGGAAATTATTCTCTAGATTCTTTTGTACGTTGAAGAGAAAGTTACAAATGTTAAACTTCAAAAAGATGGGCTAACTAAGTTTCATTTGCACTACTTGCCATTTTGTGTTGGAATAAGCATTTGTTTTTTTGCTTATATTCTTACATTTTTTTTCATTCTTCTTATATCAAATCTAACTACAAATATGATGGCCATCACATGTCAAATTTTTCTAATCTGGTTGCAGTGAGTTTGCAGATCCTGTTGTCGCAGAATCAACCCTTGAATTTCTGAACGTCAACAAGAAAAAGCTTTTAACTTCTTTCCCTACCTTACTGCCTCAAGTATGACCGATATTCTCAGGGTTTTCTGTTTATGATAAAAATTGTTATGTAGTATACCTATTAGAAATGTATGACATAAGTCTTTATTTTGATATTGTGCAAAGGTTGTGGAGGTACTTAGCAATTGTGGTGGTGTTTTCATGTACTGCAATACACACATTCACTTGTAAATTACAAAGAACGTCAGTGAACATGCTGTCTGAGTTAAAATACTGCTTCTACATTTGAAAGCCACAAAATTGAACAGTTGGACCATGCTCATTAATTGTGATGTTATCTGTGGAATGCAAGACTATTGTGTATTTGTACTTGTTTTGCTTCATAGATCTTTTAAGTTCTTGCTGCTTGACAATGTTCTCATCCTTGTGAAGCTCTCAAATATCCGAAGGAATTAAAACAAAATCAGACCCATTGTGGTCAAATATTTCATCTTGAATTTTATATGCTTTTGTTCCCTTCTTGCTTTTTTTTTTGTTCTTTTATGCTTTTGCAGGATCCGACCATAATATTTCTTTCAATAGCTGGATATGTATCTCTAACCTTAACAACTTCTATGCAGTTCTTTCCCTTGATGTTAAAGTTGATTGCATGGAATGGGGAAAAGTGAGTTCTACAGCAATTATAATTTGACTTAGGGCTCATGTTCAAAGATGTATATACATACATATGATGTTTCGATGTTGTCAGTTCTGAACACACACACACACACACACACACACACACACACACACACACACACACACACACACACACTGTGACACATGTACGTACATATGATGTTTCTAAGTTGTCAGTTCTGAACTTCTGATGGTAAGCTGAAGACACACACGCACACACACACGTACGTACATACATATGATGTTCTAAGTTGTCAGTTCTGAACTTCTGATGGTACAACTGAAGATAGACACACACACTCACGTACGTACATATGATGTTTCTAAGTTGTCAGTTCTGAACTTCTGATGGTACAGCTGAAGATAGACACTTGTGGATATGCACATTACAAAGATTTTTTTTATGTTTCTATTGTCATTTAGCTTTAAAGAAAATTGATGAATTTTATTTTAATGAATGTCCACTTCGTTGTTTTCCCTGCAGGTTAGAAAAGTCATATATGAAAGTTTTTCCAGGGTTGATTTCGCCTGGGTCATTTCTTCCATTATTTCCAGCTTTGGTAGACTTGCCAAGTAAGCATGATTATTCAGTTCACCTTTGTCCTCCGTTTTCACCATATTTCTTTGATGTCACATTGTCTCTTGGCTTCTTTTACCTTATAAGGCTTTTACTATGTTGCATGTATATGTGTTTTTCATCTGTTGTTTCTGTTATGTGTGGAGTTAATTGATTCTAGATCCTTATCTTTAAAATATTTCTTGTATATAACTGATCTGAAATATTTATCTAGCCATCATATAAAATTTATAAGTTGTTAAGCTGATATGTCAAGTGCTAAGTCTGAGCATTCAGCTTATGCCTTACCACTTTTGAACAGACTGTCATTATGCTGAAAAGAAAAGGGTGAAATAATGGGCTTATTAATTTATCTGTTTTTTCCGAACTGAGTTCTTGTATTTCAAATTTGTTTACTCTTTTTGTTTTTTTTCAAAATATAAAAACTATTGGTTCATGGTAGCCCAGTAATTTGGGCTTGGCTGGGTGTGCTTTTAAGCCTTTTTTCAATTGGTTTTTCTTAGTTTCCTCTTAAAGTAGCCTGAGATTTATCATTTTTTGTTTCAACTGTGGTAGTTTTGGTAGTGGCATTGGAGAAGGTTGAAAAGAGCTCGGGATCGTTAGTTGGAAACAGCATTGCATCAATGCAGAAGAGTTCGGCTCCCGAGGTTATTTTTTAGACGTTTGAAAATTACACGTGTTAACCTAAAAGTTCAGAAACCATGCAATCAAAGATGTGCGTTGATATGTTGATGCAGATGCTGCTCGCTCTTATGGATGAAGCATATACTGGTTCAACAATAGGAGATGGAGGGGGAGACTCAGAATCAGAGGACAGCAGTTCAATTGATGTTGCTGATCCTCTGTTCCTTGACCTTCTAAAGGATGAAAATGATGGCATTGCTGTAAGGATATTGTTTCTGAATCTCAATTTCCATTTGCATATCCTAATGTAGAACTGTTTTCCTTTTAAGTTATATAAAAGTAATGTTTCACTTACTTGTATTCCTCTTCTTTCTTTTCTTTTGATGTGTCCTTTTTATCATTTCAACCGAATGCAAATGCAAGACAACATAAAACCATTGTTTTCTTGTAATTACAAGTAATTAAGTAGAGATGTGGACTTACTGGTAAACATTTTTATGTTCCTTTTAAGCATGACTTTAATGTATATGTTTCGGACCACCGACAATTTTCCAAATCAAGATTTGAGCATGTTTCTACAAATGGTTGGGTAGCATTATGTTATGACAAAATTTATTTCAAATTGAACACTGGGAAAATATACTGAGATTTTATTTATGTTGTATTGCAGGAACGCCATTGGACCTCTCCTGCGATGGCTGCAACTTTACAGGCTGTAATTAATACTCCCCAATCTAATAGGCTGAAAAATATACTACGCATGACACCATGGTTTCTTGATGTGTATTTTGCTATAGCACTGCGTGATGTCAATAATTGTATGTGATATAGCTCTTATCCTACATTAGAGTTTGGTATAAACTCTTTTGTTTCTAAAAAGTTATTTTCTCTATTTTATTCCAGCTTTGGTCTGTGCATTGATACCTCTACTCATGTCCAGAAATGCCACAATATTTCCTGACAGAAGTTTTTCTTATGAGGTATGCATTTAAATATATTTTATGTTTTCTTTTGCTGAGGTTTTTGATGTAGTGCCTTATTGGCTTCCTAGACAGAAAACTATGGGAGATTGATATATTTATGATTTTTTATGCATGGAAGTGGACCACTCTTCACGTGCACTTCATTTGATTTGATATTGTCAAAAGATCATTCTCCAGCATCACACCAACACCCTTAGTGATCTCATTTTCTTTGATCTCGGGTTACAGTTTAGTTAGGGACTCAGGGGTCACATGAAATACAGTAATTGTTGGTCTGGATTTGGGGATCAAATGTGATGATTGGAGACTATTTCTTGCTTTTCAATATCCTTGGTTCCTGGTACCCTAGTATATATTGGTGTTACATTTTGTCTATACTCATTTTCACTATAATTAATATCTGTTGGTATCTTTTGTGCAAAAAATTCGTGTCCATGTCCTGCAAGATAAGATGCTTTTCGAATTATGAAATGTGTGAAAGTAATCGTGATCAGTTCATATAATGAAATATTATTTATAGCTATATATCATAAGTGTTTCTGGTGAACTTTAAAGTCTGATTGACCGTCTTGTCATCCTTTGTCATGAGTGGATAATCTTATTTCTAAATTTTTTTCATTTCTGTAGGTTCGTAAGAGGCTATTAGAATTCATGCTTGCTGCATTTCAGCGCTCTCCAGATTTTATTGCACTTTTGAAGGTACTGTCCAAAAACATTTTGCCTCTAGGATCTTTATTGTACTCTTTATTTCAGCTGTGTATGTTTTAAAATCCATTAGAAACAGTTGGTGGCACGGTTCTCAAGGTATGTGATTAGAAATTCTTAGTAAGGTAAGTGATTAGAAATTCTTGGTAAGGTATGTGATTGGAAATTCTTAATAGAAAAGAGAAATGCACGAGTTTGAGCAGACAGGAGGTTGAAGGAATGGATTTTGGTTATTGGGGGTCTTGGTTCATTCCTTTAATGGTTTAAAGGGAAAAGTAGCCGAAGTGCAATATCCAACTTGTTACTTACCTAGTAGTAGACTCATGTTTAATTTTATTAATATCTAGTCGTCAGATCTTTTCTGTTCTTCATTGAAAGAGTTTACAATGTGATTTCGATCTTTGCAGAAGCCTATAATGGACAGGCTAGGGGAAGCTTATGACAGCCCAGAAAAGGTCAGTTGATCACTTCACTGTGTGTTGAAGCTTGTTTGTGTAGTAGTTTGTGTCTGAGTATGTTACAGTTTTCTTTTCCTATAGACAGAGTTGGCATTACAATTGTGCTGGGCCATTGGAGAGCATGGTGGGGGTGGACGATCTCACAAAGATGAAGCTCGCGAGCTTTTTGAGAGTTTAGAGCTACTCTTGTATGAAAACCTTTCATCTAGGTAAGAAATAAACCAGCAGTTTGATTTGTGTCTCATTTACGTCCTTAGCAATGTCGACTAAATGTCTGCTGACTTTTCTATTTTCCTTTTGTTTTCTTGTGAAGTCGTCTAGGCCTGGGACAGGAATCAACCTTTAGCTCTGATAATCAAACTTACCGAAAGTCATCACAATCAAGGCTTCTATGCTTTGTTGTTACAGCCATTGCAAAGTTGGCCACCATCCACCGTGAATTGCTGCCTAGGGCACATTTTTCCTTGGGCAAGGTTTGGCTTTCAGATTTGACCATAAGTCTAGCTATTTTCCTTGCTAGAATAATGTGTGGTTTTTCAGTTACAATTTTCGTAAGAGAAAATTTAGCTCCTATGTATCATAGTGAGATTGGTGGAGTTATGTAGAAGTATATTATGCTGTCAAAATTATCTCAGCAGCTCACGTTCACTAAATTGTTTTGTATCCCCAGGTAGCTCGCTCTCGAATATCAGATGAGAGGGTCTGGAGACGGGCTCGTGATTATTTGGGCTTAATGACAGAACCTGCAATTTCCTTGTCTGTCTTGGGGCCTTCCCGGCCTTCAAATGGACAAATGCAGAACCGCGGTACTGTCAAGTGGAGTGATGGTGCATCAAAGATGATTGCACATGTTCCATTTTATATTCTTGGTGAACAAGAAGGTCAGGATCCTTATCGAAACCCTTTCTTTTTTTTTTTCTTTTTTCCTGGCCGAATATTCTTATTTGAACCTGTTTTACTAAAACTCTGAAATAGTTGCACGCGTCCTTAAACATGTCCTCTCCGAGCATTGAACTTAGGTCAACATGTCAATTGATCTGCACCATCACATGCCGTTGCCTTTTGAAAATGATTTTTCTTATTTATATTCCCAATACTCACTTAGTGGGATGTGGCTTTGTAGTTGTTGACGTTGTTGGGCTAGGATTATGAACGTATAAAATAGAGATGGTAAACAACACGCGGAAAATGAATGAGTGCGTGGTTACACTGCCTACGAAATTTGGTTACTCTGGTTCCATTACGCTATACTTTTACCAAGTGCTGATTAAGTACAACATATACTTCAATGCAATTATGCTATGTTTTGCAGAGATCCGTTCCTAAATTCGAACTTCGCCTTCTTGCAGGTCCACCCTTCCATGATTTTTTGTTCTCGGATATTCTTCCAAGAAGATGATGAATGGCGGCGGATCTTTTTCAGGGTGTATGTACTTTGTAATTTCTGTAAGAAATCTTAATTTACAGATTGTATTCGTTCTTTGTTCTCAAGATAGTAGTTCTAGTTTGTACATTGCCTTTATACAATATGGTTCTATGAATGTGTAAACTGTGTTAGCCACTCTGCTTATAGCTAATTGGTTATATTATTTTTTTGAAAATAGTTAAAAAAACCGTTTCTTATTTTATGATTTCCATTTTTTTTGTTTGTCCGTAAATTTATTGCAAGCACCTGAAATCATTGGAAGACATAAGGCCTGTTTGGTGGGCAGGATAGGATGGGTTATTTCCAATTAAATTGGAGTTGTAGCTCAGCCAATATTTGGTGAATTGGCTACAAATCTGAAATAAGGGAAAATATGATGGGTTATGTAACCCGACCACACACATAGGCCATATAACCCATCGCTGCCAATCTAATCATGTTCCTAATGTTCAATCTCATTCAGCCCACGAAATGGGCATGATGCGTTTGTTGCACTATACTATTTTGGATTGGCCTAACTTCAGAGACTAAGTTGGACTTGCTTAGAATAGATTAAACTTGACGGACTTAATGAAGTGTTCAGTGCAGTGTTAGATTTATTATTAATTCTACTTCCACCCCCACCAAAATACTCTTCCTCTCTCAAAACCTCCATCTTTTTCAACCTCTTTCTCTCTGTCTCACGCTCTGCCTTCCTCCTTTTTCTCCAATTAAATTCTAATCGAGCTTGGTTGTTGGGATTTTTGTTGGGTGGGCATGGAAGCCCAATGGGTGAGCTTGGTTGGTCAAGATCTTTACGATTTTGAGTCTGAGCTTGTCGAAGTGGGGCTTTGTGCTTGCAGCAGTCGTCGTTGAAGTGGGGATTTGGGTCACTTTTGGCTGTCGTTGCGCTTGTTGCTGCGCTCCTCTATTGCGATGGGAATGTCGACGTTCTTTAAAAAATTCCGTCTTTTGGGGATTTGGGTTTCAACGGCGATGCAGGTTAGCCGTTGATTGTCTACTTGTTGGAAGGCTACAAGGACGATGCGAAGCAGACTAGAAACCTGGATGAGCTTGAGGCGAGGCGAGGCGAGGCGAAGCAAAGCAAGTGTAAGAGACAATATTAGCATCCTCCTTTTCATAGACCCCCTAGCGAAGCGCCCGCAAGTCTGACTTAGGGTTGGTTTGGAGTGAGCTGCTTAAAAAAAAAAAAAAAAAACACCCATGAAAAAAAAAAGTTGTGAGGATTTTAGGTGTTTGGTAAACTGAAAAAAAAGGCTTATTTTGGAAGCTGTGAGAATAAGCTGAAATCAAAGGAAAAAGCTGAAGCTGCTATTTGCAGCTTTGGAAAAATGGCTTTTTTTCAAAGCACACAGAGTTACAGTGCTCCTTTAATGAAAAGACCCACTATTAGACTGTTTTTTTTCTTTCCAAAAGCACTTTTACAAAAATGTTTACCAAACATTCTGCTGATTTATTTCACAGCCGCTTATTCTTTCAAAAGTTTTTTTTCAAAGCACAGCAATACCAAACCAGTCCTTAGTCTCATTAAACTTAGCTCCTTCTTGCACCAAACACGGACTAGGAATCGTAGTCAGTCAAGTGAAACTTAAGGAAGCCAAACAAACAAGCCCTAAGGGTTTGTTTGGAAATCTTTTAAAATGGCTGAAAGTAATTTTGTTGAAAATATTTTTATAACAAATCCTTAGTAAAAACACAAGTGAATATTGAAAAAACACTTGAAGTGCTTTTTAGAGGAAACACATAACTGATGTTTCAAGAAGCACTTCAACTGCTTTAGAACCCAAAAATATTTTTTCTAAAAGCGCTTCGAGTCATTTTAAAAGCACTTCTAAAAAAGCTCCAACTAGTTCATTAATAAGTAATGCTAGAAAAATCACATTTGTGGATCACGTTGATCTTTAGTACGTATACTTGTGCGTCTCGCCTTTATTCGAGATGTGGTCTATATGTGCTGCGTGATAGTTTAGTGTTTACTGTACCCATGTGAAGTGTTGCTTTGTGATTTTGTGGGATACACAACCCATTAAAAAGAAGAATTGGATCAAAATGACTAAGAGCACAACTCTTCTAAGGATCTAATCGACTGAAAACATTAAGAAAATTGCTTTTGGACGAAGCATACATCCTGGGAACGCCACTCTCGGATGGATTGAAAATCCTGGGAAGTTAGAGAATAGTGAGACTGAAAATGCTTACGCACTTGACAAAGAACAAGCCCCTTCTTTCCCCATCCTATGAAATACTACATGACGAGACAATCAATCTCTTGAGAATATCTCTAAGGAAAGTCCTGATAGTTGTCAGTTTTGTTTAGGATGAAAGCAATGGAGAAAGAAATTAACACGCTTGATAAGAAACATACATTAAACATGGTTTTATCGCTGAAAGGAAACAAGACGGTGATATACAGATGGTTATTCAGTATCAAACATAAGGTTGATGAATTGATACAACAACACAAGCAAGACTTGTGAAAAATGGGTACACTGACAAAAAGTGAAAAACATTTTTTATGTGAAGAACGTTTTTCTTCACGACGACCTCTTGTTGCTAATTTTGATGTGAAGAACATTTTTCTTCACAGTGATCTCGATGAAAAGTGACTATCTTGATCATTTATGTTGATGGCATGATTCTTACGTTTAATGATGATGAAGAAATTCATAAACTGAAAGGAATACATGAAAATCGAGTTTGAGATCAAGGATGTCGGAGGACTCAAATATTTTTGGAAAATAGGGTGAGTTTGTTGATAGAAATATGAACTTGAGTAACATGTATGCTTGATTACAAATTCACAGATTCACTAATTGTTTGAACCATCACTTAAAGAATATTACGACCAAGTTCTGGCTAATTAAGAACAGTACAAAATGTATGGTGGGAGGGTGATTTATTTGTCACATACAGGACAAAACATTGCATATGTCATAAGTGTGTAAGTTAGTTCATGCATTTTCCTACTAAAGAACACATGAATCTTGTGGTTAGAATTTTTTTTATACTTGAAATCAGCTCCAAGTGAGGCTCGTGTTTCAAAGCATTGTTATTTGAATGTGGACGATACACTGATGTTGATTGGACAAGGAATAGAACTCATAAAAAAATCTATATCTAGTTACTTTATGTTTATTGAGAGTAATATGGTAATTAAGATTGCGATCAACTATCAAATATTCTAACAAAGATTGTGTAAAACAAAGGGTTTACAACACAATTGACAATTCGGCCCTGAAGACATAAATTATCAACATAACTAAACCTAACGCTCAAACATACAATCTCATAAATCGTTAACTTTACTTCGTATATAAATATTCTTCTTCTATTGAGAAATATTGTTGAAAGAAAATTAAATAAGTTTCTTGGCATAGTAAATGTTACGTGTGAATTTATCCATTTTCATAATCTTTAGTACACAAAATAGTAAAATATAAGTACATAAAGTAGAATATAAATTGTGTGAGGTGCACAATACAATATTAAACTTTATTAATTCCATGTTAGACGTACTTCTTTCGAAAATGAGGTTATAGCAATACGTAGTGAGTCCAGCCGGCCCAGATTAGTCATTGGGGAGCACTTCTTGGCCTCAAGCCTGTTATTGGCTATTTTATTCAAATTAATAAATAATTAAATATGAATACATTATGTTTAGTTTTCTAGTAATTTTTTTAAGAAGATAAATTCCTTATTTCTCAAGATATTTGTATTTGGATTGACCAAGCTTGATGAGGAATCAAGTTTGACGGTCATTCTTAAAGATATCAAGGCTACTAATGTGTTGCTTGATGAAATTTTAATCCAAATATGTCTAACTTTGGAATGGCCAAACTTGATGTAGGAGTTAAAACCCACATAAGCACCTATATTGCTAGAACATTGTGAGTCTCTATATTTTAACTTATCTTCTTATATTTGTCCTTCCAATATAGTTGTATTACTGCATATATGTACAACTATTGTATTGATGTGAACTTTCAATTAAGAGAAAAATACCCTACTTTTGTAAGATATTTTCTTAAGCTAAACAATTTCATAATTTCATGATTTAATTTGGAGTGAATATATGGCACTGGAATATACAATTCGAGGTTATTTGACCAATAAACAAATGTTTATAGCTTTGGAATTGTTGTATTAGAGGTCATTAGTGAGAAGGATTGAAGTCAGTAGACAAACGAAAAGACTTTTATATTCTTGATTGGGTAACTTTCTAATTGGAAATCTATTTTGATTTTGTTGAAAGTTCTCTTGTTTTTTTTAAAGGTAAATAACTTAGTGTGCTTTTATTCGTTTCATGTTTTAAGGCACATGTACTAAAATCTGACGGGGATTTGATGAACCTAGTGGATCTAAGGTTGGGATCAAACTTCAAAGGAAGAGATGACTGTTACAATCAATGTGGCTCTTCATTACTCTAATGCTACTTCAAAACTTAGGCCCATCATGCCTTTATTTGTGAGCATGCTTGAAGGCATGGCAACTGTTCAAGAGTTTATCTCAGACCCAAATCCCTCATCAAGTAATGAGATGGATGCAAGGATGAAGAAATGTTTTCAATCCTATTCATATCGCCGAGACACTAGAAAAGAGAGAAAATGACATAGTGTTTGATAGATTATCAACATAACTAAACCTAACGCTCAAACATACAAGCTCATAAATCATTAACTTTACCTATATAAACTTTCTTTTTTCTGTTTAGAAATATTATTGAAAGAAAAGTTAATTGTTTCTCAGCATGGTAATATTTATGTGTGAATTCATCTATTTCCATAATCTTTAGTACATCAAATAGTACAATACAAGCACATAAGTAGATTACAAATTGTATGATGTGCACAATACAACATTAAACTTATTAATTTCATTTTCAAGGTACCATTTTCAAAAAAATGAGGTTATAGCAGTACTTAGTGGGTTGGACCAGCCCAAATTAGTCATAAGTGAGCACATTTCAGGCTCTAGCCCGGCTATCTTATTTAACTTAATAGATAATTAAATATTAATATATTGTATTTAGTTTTCTAGTACTTTTTTTAGAGACGATAAATTCCTTATTTCCCAAAGACATCTGATTTTGGATTGGCCAAGATTAGTGAGGAATTAAGTTTTAAGGCTGTTTATACCATATTTAGGGCCTCCGTATTTAGATCTCGTATAAATACTCGGAGGACTTAAATGTAATTATATA